TTGCCACTGTGGGGTGTAGGCCGGCTGTAAGCGTACAGGCCGCACTGACTGAGCGCCCGCTACTCTATCCCCGTGTACTCTCTCTCTCTCTCTCTACCGCGGAGCAACTCACTCTCTCCCATCCGATGTGTCTCCGTTATACGTGTGTGGGTACCCCTTCTCCGATCCCCGATTTTCACTGCGCATGCATGGAACGGAGCGAGGAGCTTGCAAGAAAGGAGGGGGAGGGGGAGCTTGCGCCCCCCCTACCCCCCCCTAATATACCGATGCTGTTTCTTTGCCTCTCCTTTTTCATTTACATATACACTTTTTTTTTTGTTTTTCCTGTTTTTTTGTTGTTCACTCATTGTCGCGTATGGTTGAATGGGCTTTTTCATCGTTGCGATTTGTGTGTGTTTTAAAAGGCACGATTGGGCTTATGAGCTTTTTGGGAGATTGTTTTGTCTTTTTTTTCAATGGGTTCCTGATTTTGTTCTTTCAAAACGATAAACCTATCGTGTCAGTGTCTCTTCGTGAATCTGTACACGTTTGTGGCAACGATTACGGCTTAAAGATCATTTGAGTCGATTTTGGTACAATTAGTTTAGTAGATAAGTGACTAAGCGGTTCAGAATTACAATTTTTTTTTTAGTTTATGCGTTGATTGGTGAACGAGTCGAGTTGAAGGTATTAGAAATAATAATATTGCAATTGGCAGCAACAATTGTATTCACATAACGGGGAAAAGTCCTTGGTCTCAGATGGACTCAGCCTTCAGTTTGTTTTATTGTTTGTTACATTCGTGAGCTAATAGGCAATTGCTTCTCTGTCGGAAAAAGTGACGACAGATTCGAGATCGCAAAGATAAAACCACTTAGTCATAAGTCGAGTTGTAAGTGCTTGTCAAACAAAAATGGTAAATTGTGTTTAAAACTCAATTTCGTTTTTATGGTAGCTGTAATTTTTTCCAGCATCAAGTTTGTTGTGTTTAAATTTCTTTTTAATCCAACCATATCAAGTAAATGATCGACCAGATTACATTATACCGCCTGTCTTTTGATTTTCTTGTTTATAATAACAAAAGTACCACTGACAGAATAATAAAATCTACCTTTGCGCCATTTCTTTATTACGAGTATAGTTAGAATGACATTTTTATTCGAGTCAACCGCGTCGTTAACATTAATATTATGCTTCGTATATGCAGAAACTTATAGAGTTAACTGTATATTTTCATCAGCAAATTGTCGCTGAATCAATTTTTTCTTCTGTGTTTGGGTTACTCTTGTTAGATCTAATTTTTTAAGGTTTCGTTTTTTTTTTGTAGTTTTTGTGCTCATTCGTGAAATAGGCCGGAAAAGCACATCTTTACTCTTAACTATACTTGTGATTTACAAATTTCTTTGTTCATTTAACGCATGCATTTCAGAATAAATAAATTACGTACCTCACTTTACTTTGAATAGAAGAATAATTTTAATTTAAATGGTTTCTTTCGAGGTTTCTTTTATAATCCGTGGACTCTTTTTTCGATTCAGGTGCATATGTTATTAACTTTTCACTCTTTGTGTACAACCATACCATACATTAATAATAAATACGGGCAGGTATACATATAAAAGACATGAAAAGGAGACACCTTCGGCTTGTCATTTTAATGAAACCACAGCTTTGACTTTGAGATCTTGATGAAGAAGAAGAAGAAAAAAAAAAAATAAACACCCCTCGAGGCTCTCGCAAATTAAAGAAAAACACCTTGAAGGCAAACGAAGTAAAAATCTCGTCTCGAGCGCGCGTCACATCAAAGAGACGCAGTTGAAGAAAAACGACTCCTCCTGTAGACACGAGAACTTCCAAACGTGCTTTCGAAAAAAAAAGTCTTCACCCTGTATGTCTTGGCACCTCCGTCGCGTCGTCCCGCTTATTCTCCCACTCACTTTTTTTTTCCTCCGACGCTTTAAATTGCAGGTGAAATAGCACTACCACGCTTTTCTTAATTTCTCTTCCCCCAAATTTCCTTTCTCACCTTTTTTTTTTTTTTTTTTTTTTTGTAAAAATAGTGCCACGGCGTTTTCAACTACTTATTCTCTTTTTTGGTGTTTCATCATCTCATTTTAACATTATCTCATATAACATTAAAAATGTACCAATTTCCCCTTATTTGCACTATTAATTTGATGCATTTATATGCTCCTTTACTTATGGCGTGTACTCTGTGCTTTGTGACAAAAGAAGTTTCCTTACCGACACGAAAAAACTGCCTAACCAATGGAGAATCACACATTCAGTGTAGGAAAAGTAGATTCCTGGTATATCAGAAAACGGTAGGCCATGTGATTGTTTCCGCTCGTCGGTAAAAGACAGTGAATCTGTAAACTGCTTTATCGACATTGCTCAGTTGGTATTGGTACATTCGTAAAAATAATTCAAATAACTCATGTTAACATAATTATCGCGTTTATCATATTCCTAGACGTTTTCTTATTAAAAAAAGAAAAAAAATACATTCACTTTGTTTAAAATTCAAGTAAAAACCCGATCAATCAAGTCTACCGCATTCTCGACCGACAATGTCTTTTGATCGCCTAAATTGGAAGATAACAAGTATAAAAAATAATTCTACTTAAACATTTTCTAGTAATGTACAGCGATGCTCATACAAAATGATAAAGTATTAAAAAATTTGTTCAAGTGTTTCGGGAAACCAAATCAACGTTAAACGCAGTAAATTAAAAAGAAGGAAAAAAAATGTTCCGTCACCAAAAACACTTCACACTCAAGTATGTAGTATAAATGGAATCAAAGACAATCGCTCCGTCAATCATCACCCACACCACTAGAAATCCTTTCTATTATTCCCTTCGATCAATTCTACTTCGGCGAACGCCTGCGTGCCCTTCAAACGCCAAGCTTTAAGTACACATTTAACGTTTATCCATCTCCCCGCGCACCCGTTCTCTTTCTCCTCTACACCCACACCTCCCAGTCACACGCCACATCCTAATATATCTCTCCTGTATTTTCCTCCCACACCCCTCCAATTTTAATTAATTACCTTCCGCGAAAAACGAATGACGCATCCTTATAGCTCTGGGCGGGATATGTGTCACACAATGTACGCATCCTAATATACGCATAGCTCGAGCTGTACCTTGTGTTTTATTTCCTGGAATGTCCCAGCGCTGTTTTTTGCGTGGCTGTGGTTTTTTTATTTATTTTTTTTTTTTCTTCCTTTGTCGCTCTTTCCGCGGATGCTAATTGTAAATTGGAAATGTGTCTTTGTGAAAACTGTTTTCGTTCGTTGGAACGCGAAGAGGCGGGTCGGTTGCAACGAGATTATGAACTATAGAGAGACAAAGGATTAGCGATAAATATATACGCGCGTGTTAATTACATGCGTAGTATTTTTCGTCACTTTTAACTCATTTGGTGGGAGTAACCGGAAGCAGTGGAATTAAGAGACGTTACCTAGTACGGGATTCGTTAAAAGTATATTATGTAGCGGTGTGATTAAACGATGTAGGAATGTTTCATTTCAGAGAGTATAATTGATAATGTGGAAAATTAAATGTTTCTAGCTATATCGAAAAAAATATATATATATATATATGGAATGTTGTCTACACGTTTTTTTACTACAATGTTTATTTTACTTTATAAGCCCGTTTTTGTGTTCGTAAAATAAAAAGGAATCTGATGAATCAACAATTTTTCATTTCATACTTTTAGGAAAATAATCTTCGAAAATTTAAATTTCGATGATAGCCCACGATGTATGGTGAAATCACGTGTACAGGTGTAAGTAGGTACTTAATACTAAAGCCTTTCGAAACTCGATTGCCGGCTGCTTTCTGTACCTAATCTGTGTACACGTGTGCGTACATGTATATGTGCTTGAGAAGGCGTGTGTACCTACGTATTTAGCAATTCATGCGTATAATTTGTCAAAGGATTAATATAGACGGGAATCCTGATATGTGCACTAGAACATTGCATGGCTTACTCAGTCAATATAATACGTATTAGTCTTAATGTGGCTGATTATTTATTTCTTTCCAAGTAGGAATAAACAAGTTTTGTTAACAACACGCCTATATTTTCATTTTAAATTAAGATAAAATGGGTTATATTATGATAAAAGAATAAAAAATCAGGGTAGACATGGGACGCGTTGGGATTTGTTGCCTCTTGCATTTTGGAAACAAATCAAATTTAATGTACGGAACAACAGTCTGATTTATGGATATATTTAAATGTATGAATACGAGCAAAATTGTACATCCTTACCCAATAAAATTGATTCAAAATGGATAATGTGATCATTTTGTCATACCAGACCATCAAACTTCGACGAGCACTTGTTAAAAATCTAACTGTTGTTACATGGCTGACCTAAGTAATTTTTTGCAAATGAAATGCGTTTTTCAAACGAATTTTTAAAGTCTATGAAAATGCGCTGTTATTACAATAGTAAATTGCTTCATTGCGTATTGTAAAAAAAATGTTGTATTATTGTATCGACAACTGAGTGTTTTCGGGAATCAATAATCAAATTCAAAGTGCCTCCGATGATAAAATGTAACCAAAGTAACATAATTCTGATCCGCGCACCTGGACCTCATCGTTTACCCTCCACGAGGAATATATTTATATAGATATAGAAATACGTAACATTTATATATTTCCCATTCCCTCAGTTGAACATTGAAATTTCGCGGAAACATGTATCTGTGGCGTGGGTCGCGGGAAACATGTATATAATAAAAGACAAAACCTAAACATCGATAGGTAAACGGAGGAGAAAGTGCAGGGGAGGTAAGACTACAGAGTACAGTCTTTCATAAGAGGGAAGGGGACAGAGAGCACAGCTAACGCTCGCAGCGCCACACGTGCGTGCGTAAATGGAGACACGGGACTTTACCGAAGCAGCGGCGCGCAGCATAGCAGACGCTCTTGGGTAACTCCGTTCCGAAGCTGAAGTTCGCGTGAATCATCGGCAGTGTGCCGTTGGCCGCCGAATGAGCAGGTCTTGTGAATTTCATTGATGTTTGCTTCCATCTACGCTATACCAAAGTCCTCGTTGTCTTTGTTGTTATTGTTTTTAAAAGGTAAATCGGAGCTCCCGTCATTCTTAAGTGCGAATGTCAATGTAAACAGTTTATGCATCAGTGAATCGTCAGTTTTAATACAGAGATATCGTCGTCGTGTGTACTAGTGGTTCGAGTGTTTGGTTGATCGTCTACTTTTTTTTTATTTGTTTGCGGAAAAAAGCAGAACGAAATCAGTGCGAGAGGGAAAACAACCGCAAACCGCTTCGAGTGCGAGTGACGGTGTGACGGTTTGTGGTAACCGAAAGGAAAAAAGAGAAGATCGCCGCGTTCTATCGTGTACATCTCGGTGTAAGTGTATAATTCTGCGAAAGAAGGCCCGTGCGGCTCTCGTCCATCTCGAGCGACGATCTCTGATTTTCCTTCTGCTGCGCGGCCGGAGCGGAAAAAAAGGACAGTGCCCCTCTCTTGATCCCTGTTTTCTGCCTTGTATATAAGCCACATCGGAGCAAGGGCAAGAAAAACCGTAAGCCGAGAGAGAGAGAGAGGAAAAGCCGACTATACCCCTCAAAGATGTGACACGAGATAACCGCGTAGATCGTATATTGTGAAACTCGCAACACCCGCGTTACGCGATCTCTACACCTATTGTCACGCCGCGGTTACAGGGGGGAGAAGAGTGTTTTCAGCTCCGAAAAAGTAAAGTAAACAAAATGAAAACGAAAGCGCGACTTGTTTTGTTGTTGGGGATTGTCGTGGTCGCGGCAGCGAGTAGCGCCGACCGGACGGACGAAAACGAGCTGAAGGAGTACTGCTCGACGCACAGCTACCAGGATCTACCGGGTGGATTGAGGTTCACCAAGGAGGTCGTAAGCAACGAGTACGCGAGTGTCAAGCTGTTCAAGGCGATACATTGCTGCCTTCGCGGTTACCGAAGCATCGAATGGTGAGTTTTGCTGTTTTGTTTTTCCCGAGTTTCGGAGCACGTGTGGGGGAGTTTTTCAATTGGCGGCGCTCTGTACCCGGAAAGCACGTGGCTCCGTACCGTACTATGTATATGTTGATCCAATCGTCGATTTAAACTGCCCCCCCCCCCTTTTTTTTCGCGCGGCTTTTGGATGGTTGTATTTTTTTATACCTAATCGGGCTTTCGTTGATGAAAGGTTATAAAGTTTTTCATTTGCTTGTTGAATTATGTTCATTTACGCGCGTGTGATTATGTAAAGTAAATAGTAAACGGTATTTTAAATTACGAACGTGAAAATATTCGTTTCACCGGGTACACTCTTGTAGCATTTATTTTTAAAAGCACCGTTTCCCGGAACGTTCTGAATGTTAATTATAAATGTTTTTTTTTTTAACAATTATAGTACGATTTATGTGTTTGCCGTTACGTGGAATCCAGATATGTAATTATAATTTTTTTCTTTTCTCATGTAAACTGTTTTATTCATACGGCAACGTTGGTGTTATTAAAAAATTACATCACGTCGATTCGCGTATACGAAGGAAAAAATACGATAACGGTAACAGATACACTCCGCACGTGCCCGCACGCGTGTACAAAATTCGGATTAGGTGTCGCTGTGTACAGCGCGTCAATATTTATTTTTCCTTAATAAATTATACGACTCGTAACACATTTTTACGACTCCTCGAAATCCGTGGTACCAAAAGTTGTTATGCAATCGTACGTTTTTACGGTGCATTATAAAAAATTTCGACCTACTTTCGACTCGAGCGAATCATAAAAATTTAATGATCTCTATTTGCTCGAGTACAATCGCCTGTGACACGGGTCGTCTCTGATGTTTGCAAACACACGCCCATATCACATGTATTTTGACACAGTGCACGCGCGCGTGTATTACGTGATTGTGCTCGAGTTCGCGGAAATTTCGCAGGTAGTGCAAGTCGGCGGCCACCTCCGCTGGATTTCATAATATTTTCCTCGATTCGTTCCCCGGTATCCAAGCTGTGTGCATGTATAAATGAATAAGAGTACGAGTACATGTGTATATTATGCATGAAATGCAGTTGTGTCTGGTGGGAGTATCCTTTTGTCGTGAGAATGCAACAGTGGGTATATGTACATGAGCGTAAGGATTGCGAGAAATTGCATGCATTGTTGCATTTAAGCCGGGATTTTACAACTCGACTGCAGATATACCGCCGCTGTTGAGGTATTATAATGGTGAGGCGTAACAGAAGTTGGAATTTTTTTTTTTTTTTTTTCCTAAAAATGATTTCCATTGTGAATGAAATATGTTTTTCCGTCTTGCGATCTCCATTAGATGTAAGAATTTTCCATTTTCCATGGCGATTTTTATTCGTCAGTCAGAAAATTGCTAGGAGACATAAGTGTGTATTGAAAATGATAGAAAATCCGTATCTTATGTATCGAGTTGAGAGTAAAGTCTCGAGTGTCTGAAAAATCGATGTATCCCATTAAATTATAACAGCGATTTTTCCCGGAAAAAATTTTTTCCACTTGCTCGCAAGCATACCACGTTATTCGTCTCGTCAGTGTCACATTAGATCGTGAAAATGCTTTTTATCGCACGTCGAGGTGAAGACAATAAATAAATGTGTACAGGGTACTACTATCATTTAGAGTCTGTAGACACTGTACGCAAATGTGCTCTGCGGCATATGCATGTATACATAAATAATAGATTAATTCATGTTTTTGCAATTCATTCGAATGATAAAAAAATTCCGAGAGATGGAACTATTGTTCAAACTACACAATTGTTATTGATTTGATTCTTCGAAATCTACCTTGATACACTTGAAAAACGTGTATAAAAAAAAAGGAAGAAAAAAAGACACATATAACATTAATAAACAAGATACTATTGATTGACCTGTAACGTTTCAATCACCGCCTCACAGAATAGGATCGCGATCAAGGATATTTTTTCAAGTCCCTATGATAAAAATCTACGCGCTCTGTGTTATTTATGATTTACCACGAAAAGCTAACTTGCTACAAACGAGTGTGTATAGGTCGTCCTCGTTTCAACGTACGCGTCATAAAATTGTTTTCAAAGAAAAAACGTCACGTCCTATGATGATGTAGCAATTTTCTTATTTTTTTGTCGTGATCTAAAAAAACAAGAAATTACAATTATTTAAAAAAATACCTCAATCCAAAACTACACGTATATATACGTACGTAGCAATGTATGTTTGGGGAAAAAATTAATGTTATTGCAAAAAATGTCTCTATGCATACTATACACCGAGAAAAGAAGATAAAGAGGCGAAGTATCTTGGCGATTGAGTCAGCGTCAAAACACGCCCACACACGTACAATAGCGATACGCTTAAAATATCGTCATCCTCTTAAGAGACTATCAAATTGCCGTTCCGTGAAAGCGGCGTCTCTCTCGTTTTTCGCAAAATTATCGTCCGCCAAATCCGACTCCCATCTCCCTCTAATCATTCGGTTCCACTGATTTGATTGGAAACTCGACACCCCTAGCTTTTTCTTCCGACGCACATTTTTTTCTTTTTTCTTTAAATCTGTTTCGTTCGCGGACAATAGGCAGGTTGACGTCTTGCTTGGTTGTCATTGCACGTGTATTTATACAATTAATAATGTCATGAATTTCAAGCGTATGCGAGAAGATCATGTAACAGTTACCCGTAAAACTGCTTTCGTTGGTATCTTTTTTTTTTGTATTATCTGTGTCTGTGGGTTACCAAAGAAATTACTTTACCATAAATTGTGTCCGAATCATTGATTACAGGAGTAATTTTGTCTTATTTTCCAACATCATATTTTTAATTACTCGATTCACGCGGGTGACGTAAATTTTTTAAAACCACTTTGTCACGAAATTTAGCGTCCAGTAAATTTAACGAGTACATTTCAACAACACGTTTCACGTGAGCGCTCTTTCGTGTGCCATATTACACAAGCATTTGAAAGTTCGCGTGGGCGATTCATTTTTAATTCGGTTAATCCAACGGACACACATGTTGCCGTCCGGCGCAAATTGAATCTCGTTCCGCGAAATATTTTCCCCCTTCCTCGGAAATCAGGAAAATTTTAATACGTCGCCGTTATAAACGAAATTTATGAAGTATTCGCACGCCGTGACGGATCATGTAAATTGGTCGTTATGGAAGACATGATAATTTTTTGCCGTTAATTATGATTTACAGACTCGTTCGCCCGCGACAGAACATAAATAACAAATTTCGCAATTTCTGTGCAATAGAGATTCCAATAAACCGAACAATTAATCATACCTTCCTGCTGGTATATATATACGAGTAATATGCAGTAAACATCGATTCGAATGTTAATCAATGCTCGTAATTTTCATCAATTTAATTTTCCGGTTTCCCGCGAACTCGTGAATATGCAGATCGACACAAAAATCCACTTACGTAAGTATATCGATGCAGCTTTTCTGAATTTTCAAGAATCAATTTTGTAAGTTGTACCTATAACACAAGTGCTGTGATTTAAAAATAAAAAAAAAAAAAAAAATACGTGTATAATACACACCACATATTATACATGAAACAAAAGCAGCAGTGCCATGATTATACGTCATCGTGAAAGAGATCGAAGACCTCTCGGCTCGCTCCAACGTGCATATAATAACGTATAATAATAATGACAAGCTGCGTGCAGTGACTCACAGTCTTTTAGGCTCGCTCAGTGTGTAAAATGTATTATGCACACTTGTACATGCATAGATGCATGAGATACGATTTGCGGAAAGCTATTTTTAAAGGAAAACTTCGTGATAGGTATTTGATAGCTTTGTGTCAGATTTTCAACTGTTTTGTGGATCAAACAACCATTTTTCCTTGTTTTTTTTCCGTGAATTTTAGTTGAACCTGTTGCACGTCGAGTGATGTTTTTTTTTTTTTTTAGTGGTGTTTCAGGTTTTTTATTTATCGGGAACATTGATTAATAGTTGGATGAGTTTGGCGTTTAACTCGTGTCATGTACTGTTGTACGTGTTTTCATTCTGAATAATTGTTACACTCGTTGAATGTCGAGTGCGTCCACTTGGTTTCATTTTTCATTTTTATTTATTTTTTTTTTTTTTTTTTTATTAATAGGAATTTCAAGTTTTTTATTTATTGAGAACTATCGAACTATGATTGGCACAGTAACACATATTCGTCAAAGTTCATACACGTGCTTCCAGCCAACAATCGTCTCCGGAAAAAAAAATCGTATTTACCGAAAACAGAGTTACCCGTCATTGTTCTCCCGAAAATGGCCAAAGGAAATTATTTCCCAAAAACAAAACAAAACAAAAAATCTTCTATACCCGATCTTTGGTGCTTCCATGATAATACTTCCGAGGAGAGAAATCCAAGCCCGCGTCCATTCATAAAGAGACACACATCGGATCACGCGATTCCGATCCACGCACGTGAAAGATCGGATGCGCGTCTCGAGTTTCGCGGCTTTGATTGTATGAACCATTGCGCGTCCGGAAACGCGATACACGAGTACACGCACACACACAGCCTTCGACCGATCTTGCGCTATCGATCGGCAGGAAAAATCTCTCGAGGGTGAGTCTCGGGTTACAACGCGCCATCCGGCCCTCCTCCACGCGTGTCCCACTTTTTTTTTTCTCTCTTTGTTCTCTTCTTTTTCGGAGACCCCCTCATTCGGATAAGCTTCGTCTTATATACTGCACAGGCAGCGGTGCGTGTACATATATACATGTATACACTCAGGCAGCGTGAAAATTGGAAACTACGCCGTAAATCTCCCCTTTCCTTCCGTCTGCCCTCCCGTCAAGTTTCGCCGGCTGCCAGTAGTAAAAGAGCCTCGTCCCATTGTTCTCACGAGTCGTGAATCCTATGGCTCTTCCATTTCCTCTCACTTTTTCTCCGGGGACTAGTTTTTTCTCCTCCTCCTCCTCCTCTTCTCCTTCGACTCGGAGAGAAAAAATTGCTCCG